GAGAGAGAGGAGAGAGAGAGAGAGAGAGAGAGAGAGAGAGAGAGAGAGAGAGAGAGAGAGAGAGAGAGAGAGAGAGAGAGCAACAATGGGAAGGAGACAAGTAGAGGAGCAGGAGACAGAGAAAAACAAGAAAATAAGAGAAGAAGAGGATAAGAGAGATAAGAGGAGAATGAAGAAGAGGGAGAGGAGGACGAAAGGATGGATGGAGGAGGAGCAGATAAAGAGGTGGAGGAGGAGGAGGAGACGAAGAGGATGGCGGAAGGGGGGGGGGGAGGTGGAGGAGAACGAAACGAAGGAAGCGGATGGTGAGGAGGAGGAGGAGGAGGAGGAGGAGGAGGAGGAGGAGGAGGAGGAGGAGGAGGAAGAGACGGAGGAAGAGGGTGACGGGGGGAGGAGGGCAATGGGGTGGAAGGAGGAGGGGATGGGGTGAAGACGAACAAAAGTTACGAGCCTCTCCCCTCCCCCCTCAGACGATGGGAAACAGTGTCAGATCCGTCTGTTCCGCGAGATTGAATGGTTGCATCCAGGGAGAGGGCCCGGGAAGGAGGGAGGGGAGGGAAGGGGGGGGGGCAGTGGGAGGAGGGAGGGAGGAGGAGGAGGAGGAGGAGGAGGAGGAGGAGGGAAGAGAAGAGGGAAGGTGTATACATACATTATATATATATATATATATATATATATATATATATATATATATATATATATATATATATATATATATACATATATATATGCACACACACACACACATATATATACATATGCAAACATATATACACATACACACACACACACACACACACACACACACACACACACACACACACACACACTAGGAACTAGGACAAAATAAGTAAATAATGATATAAAATAATAATCCGCACACACAAAAAACGAAAACAAAACAAAAACGAGAGATTCACAAAAGAGGGCTTAGAACCTACAAAACCCAAGATCACCTTTTAGACAAATGAACTGATTCTGGCGGTTATTGATTTGGCAAACAGAGGGGGTGCGGGAGAGGGAGGGGGGTAGTGGGAGGGGAGAGAGAATAGGGGGGGGGGGATGGTGGGAAGGGAGAGAAGAGAAGGGAAATGAGGAGAGGGAAAGGAGGAGAGAGAGAGCAGACCGGAATGCGAAGAGAGGAGGTGGAGGGGCTGAAAGATGAAGGGGTGAAGAGGAGAAGGAAGAGAAAGAGGGGAGAGAAGGGAAGTAGGATAGTGATGGGGGGGAGGGGGAAGTCGAAGAGGGGAAGGGGAAAGGGGAGGTCGGTAGGGGGGGGGGAGAAGTCGAAGAGGGGAAGGGGAAAGGGGAGGTCGGTAGGGGGGGGGGAGAAGTCGAAGAGGGGAAGGGGAAAGGGGAGGTCGGTAGGGGGGGGGGAGAAGTCGAAGAGAGGAAGGGGAAAGGGGAGGTCGGTAGGGGGGGGGAGAAGTCGAAGAGGGGAAGGGGAAAAGGGAGGTCGGTAGGGGGGGGGAGAAGTCGAAGAGGGGAAGGGGAAAGGGGAGGTCGGTAGGGAGGGGAGGTGGAGTCAACTGATCCCTGCATCAACTCTAGAGTGACGTCCAGAGGAGAGGGGAGATTATAACGACACCCTACGAACAATTCCCCTAATTGTTAAACTTAAAATTGGAAACTATTAACCTCCATTCAGTGTAAAATGTCTAAAGATGGAGGGTCCTTGGCGGAAGGGGGGGTTGGGGGTGAAGAAAAATTCGTGTTGATATATTTTAAACAGACTTCCTTCGCGTGTGAATAGGGAAGGAACGGGACTACTTCACGTGTCTGTAATAAAAGCATGATACATGTAGTGAAGAATAGAGAGAGAAGAGTTCTGTTCGGTTAAAAAAAGGCTATAGATTAAACACGCCTTTGCCTTTTCATTTTCCTTCCTCTCGTATTTTCCATTTCTCCTCCTCACTCTTCCTCTCCCGTTTCCCTTTCCCTTCCCTCCCTCGCCCCCCCTCCCTCCCCTGCCTCTCGACAGGAAACAATCGCAAGAGATCGTTACAGTCAGCTGTTTATCGTTGCGTCATCGATACGTCCAAAACAGCCAAGCCACAAATCGCTAATTATCCACCTCAGAGAGAAGGCCCCCTTTATTCCCTTCTCCATCCCTCCTTTCTCTTTCACTCCTTTCATTTCATCTCTCGCTTTCTCTATTTATTTTTTTCCTCTCTCTATCTCCATCAATCTTCCTCTTCTCCCTTCTCTTCTCCCGTCGTTTTCTCTCCCTCCCTCCCTCTCCCTCCTTTCCTCCCCTTCCCACTTCCGTTCCTCCCTCCCTCTCCTTCCCCCTCCCCTCTCCCAAAGTCAACAACATCAACAACAACAACAACAATAACAATCCTTCGACATCTGTCTCCTCGTCGCCCGCCAGTCAACGTCTGTCTGTCTGTCTGTCTGCTTCTCGCTCCTATCTCCCCCCCCCCCCCCAGGCACACTTACCGCATGACACGAGACATCGAAAGAGAATGTTCGAGGCCCTTACCGAATGTTGGCGTACCTGCAAAGACAAAGAAGGGAAAGACGTTATTTCGGTTGAAAAACAAAAAGAAAGAAAAAGAAAACAAGAACAACATATAATCGGGCATATATGAAAGAGAAATTCTAAATTATGTCACAGAAATGGGATAGATTTGGGGCGGGGGGGGGGGGGGGATTATCCACGCTCATGAGATAAATTTTTTGGGAAAAAACGTCAAAAGAAAAAAATAATGAGAAGAGACAAAAGGGAAAATGTGAAGGCGGATAAACGGGAAAATAGACATATATATGATATATATCAACTGAAAGGAAGAGGTGTTAAAAACAAAACACACACACACACACACACACACGCACACACAAATCTATCTATCTATCTATCTATCTATCTATCTATCTATCTATCCATCTATAAAACATTAGTTAATGGAACGACCCGACAAAAATAAAAAATAAACAGGAAAAAGCAAATAAAAATAGAAAACCGAAAAGAAAAAGAGAAAGAAAAGAAAAAGAGAGAACATAAAAAAATAGAAAAAAAGACGAAAAAGATTTAAAACTACAAAAGAATGCGACAAGGGAAACAAACAAACAAAAAAACGCACACGCAAAAAAAAAAAAAAAAACACACAAACAAAAAGCACAGACAATGGCAAATGCAAAAAAAGACAGTTGCATTCCCCTTTCGCCTCCTCTCTCTTGCAACAGCAAACCCGAGGGAAAGGATTTTGATGGACGTGGATGGAAAATAGCCACTTAACGCCAACAAGAAAGGAAAACGTGGGCAGAGGGAAGGGAGGGAAGGAGGGGACGGGGAGGAGGGGGAGGATAGGGGAAGGAGTGGGTGGAATGGAAAGGGGAGGGAAGGAGGAGGAGGAAAGGAAGGGGACGAGAGGGGAAGGAAGAGGAGGGGGAAGAGGAGGGGGAAGAGGAAGGTGAGGAGGGGAGGAGAAGGGGGAGGGCGAGGGGGAAGAGAAGGACAAAGCAGTATCAGGTAATAATAATAATAATAATAATAATAATAATAATAATAATAACAATAATAGTATTGATAATTAATAATGAAAACAATAATAATTACAATGATGATGGTGATGATGATGAGAAAGGGAACTAATCAAGCAAAATGATAATAAAAAAGGAGAGGATGTGTAAATCCAATACATGAGAGGAAGCTAAGGAAAGTGGTAGGGGAAGGAAGAAGAGGGAAGGAGAAGAACAAGAAAAGAAGCTCAACACTAAATGAAAATAAATAAATAAATAGATAAATAAAATAAAATAAATAAATAATCGACGGCTACAACCAACTCGAAGCCTATCATCGGCGTCGACAAACAGCACGACAGCGCCGCCAGGGGGAAGGAGGCCGCGGCAGAGGGCGTGGGAGGAAGGAAGGAAGGGGACGAGGTGGCGGCGAGGACGTGGCAGGGACGCTTGACGGAAGATCCATTTAGGCCTCGAGGCTGTATTGTGGCGACTCCCTTCCATCAATCGACGCATATGTTTCTCCTCCTTCCTTTCCCCTCTCCCTTGCCCTCACCCCCCTCCCTCCGCCCAGCTTTCTCCTCTCCCCTCCCCGCTTCCCCCTCTCACCCCTCTCCTGACGGCGCGACCCTGACCTAAGACCTATGGAACCTCTGACCACCGGATGTTGAAGTTCGCTCCCCTCCCCCACCTCAGACCCCTTCTCCCCCTCTCCATGCTCCCCCTCGTTTCCCCTCATCTCCCACCCTTCCCACTACCGTTCAACCTCCTCCTCCCTTCCCCTCTTTGTCCGCCACGCCCCGACACGAGTCTGTTCCGCCTTCTGGATTTACACTCAATCTCCCCTCTCCCCTCCCCACCTTGCCCTCCCACGCCTGCCCTCCTTGCCCTTCCACACCTCCCCTCTCCCCTCCTCCCCTCTTCGGCCTCCCACACCTCCCCTCTCCCCTCCTCCCCTCCCCATGCCATTTTGTCTCCCCCTCTTTCTCTTCCTCTGTCCCCATATTTCTATAAGTTTCCGCTCCATACAGAAAAGGGCGAGAAAAGTGTTTCTGCTTCGACTTTATGAAAAGATTTCTGATTCGGAATCGGACGGAAAACCTCGGACTCACTCGCCCACTCGCCCACTCGCCCACTCGCTCAATCGCTCACTCGCCCACTCGCTCTCTCGCCCACTCGCTCTCTCGCGCCCTCTCCCCTCTCCCTCCCCCCATCCCCCCCTCCCTTTCATTCGGTGTTGTCGCGATGGGAAGGGGCATGTGCGTGTGTGTGTGCTTGCGTGTTTGAGTGCGAAACATCTGCGAGAGTGTTTCCTTGCGTGTATATACGTGTATTCTTGCATGTTTATGTATGTGAGAGATATGGGAGGCACGTACGAGAATGCGTGCCTGCGTGTACGTATACATCAGTGTAGCTGAGTGACTATGCGTGCATTTGTATGCCTGCCTGCTTTGCGTCTTTGACTCCCCTGGTATTATTCTTTTCTCTCCTTCCCCGTCCGTCCTCCTTTCCTTCTCCCCATCTCTCTCCTTTCCTTTTCTATCCCTCCCTCCCCCTCTCCTTCCCTCCTCCGTTCCCCTCTCCTTCCGTCCTCCCTCCCTCTGTCCTTTCCCTCCCTCTGTCCTTTCACCCTCCCCCCTGCCTTCTCCCCCTCCCCCCCTCGCGTGCGCTCCGCGGACCCCGCTCCCCCGCAGCCACGTCGCTTCTCCTTCTCCAAGCTTCGTCTGCGTAAGACGCTTTGATTCGCAGCTGGACGGTGGGTGGTCTTTGGCCCCTGACAGCTGGTTAGTTAGCTAGCTGGTTATCCAAGCGGGCTGCCAGAAAGCGCGGCTGCACAACTGGGCCATGCAACAGAAGGAGATTTCATGATACGCGCGCCTGCTTGTCTGTCTATCAATCTGAGGGCTCTCCTGTCAAGCGGATTCGGACTTGACGGACAGGCCTGACAGTGGCCCGGAAGCCCTGTTCATTTGGCCAGAAATAAACACTTAAGCGCCATGGCGGGGCGGCGATCTGATACAGTAAGCCGTCAAAAAAAACAAAAAAACAAAGGAATAAAAATTAAAAAATCGAAAAAGCTGGTAAAAAAATAAATGAGTGAGTGAGTGAGTGAGTGAGAGAGAAAGGGAGAGAGAGAGAGAGAGAGAGAGAGAGAGAGAGAGAGAGAGAGAGAGAGAGAGAGAGAGAGAGAGAGAGAGAGAGAGAGAGAGAAAGAGAGAGAAAGAGAGAGAAAGAGAGAGAAAGAGAGAGAAAGAGAGAGAGAGAGAGAGAGAGAGAGAGAGAGAGAGAGAGAGAGAGAGAGAGAGAGAGAGAGAGAGAGAGAGAGAGAGAGAGAGAGGCAGGAAGGACGGGCAAAAGAGACTAAAGACTAGAAACTAGTCGAAAACAAAACAGTAAAAGGATAATAAACACGAAAAAACGAGACCGAGGATGATGTCAAGAGGAAGGACACTCGCTAATGCCTCGGGGAAATATTAAGAGAAGGGAGAGAAGGAAGGAGGAGAGGAGGGGGAGAAAGAGAGGGGGCTGCTAACAGGATTTAAAACACTCGGTTTCGTCGACGTCCTCCTCCTCCTCTTCCTACTACGCCCCCTTCTCTCTCTCTCTCCCACTTTATCCTGGTCCTGTTCCTGCCCTTTCCGTCGTCGTCGTCTTCGTCTTCCTCCCTCCTTGCTTCTCCCCCTCTCCTTCCCATCTTCTCATCCTACCCCCTCCCACCTCTCTCCCTCCCTCCCCCCCTCCCTCCCTCCCTCCGTTCTCCCTCCCCTCTGCATTTTATTGCTTCCATCCATACACATTTCCCCGCATTAACTTCATGAGAAAATTCCCTCTTCGGTGTGTGATCAAAAGGAGAGAAGGAGGCAAGGGTGGGGACGAAAGAAGGGGATAGGTAGGGGAGAAGAGAACAAAAAAAGGAGAAGTGAAGGGCAGATAGAGGGAGTAGTGAAGGAGAAATGAAGGAAGAAGGCAGGGAGAGAAGGGATAAGGAGATTGGGAGAGAGAGATAGAGGGGGGGGGGGGAGGAAATATGGAAGGAGAGGGAAAGGAAGAGAGGGAGGGGGAAGGAGAGAGGAGAGTTAGAAAGGGAGAGGGAGAAGGGACAGCGAAAGGAAGGTAGACAGAGAAGGAGGGGGAAAGGGGCAGAGGGGAAGAGAAAAGGGAGGGGAAAGGTGCCAACGTCCTCGTGCCTGTGGATGGGTTCCTCAATATTGGTTGGGGAGGGGGTGCGGGGAAGAAGGGGGGAGGGGGCGCTGTCACCGTGTTATTGGAAAGCGATAAATGACTCCCTGAGATGATCACCAACTGGACAACGGCTTGGTGGCAGAAGTGGGAGGGAGGGAGAGGGAAGGAGGGGCGGGAGGCAGAGGTGAGGAAGAGGGAGGGAAATAGAAGAGAGAAAGAGAAAGAAAGAGAGAGAGAGAGAGAGAGAGAGAGAGAGAGAGAGAGAGAGAGAGAGAGAGAGAGAGAGAGAGAGAGAGAGAAAGAGAGAGAACGTGCACACGCACCGGTATCTCTATATTTTCGTATCCATCTTATGCAGAATTAAACTACGAGAGGAAACAATGGAAGTTGCAAAATACATGCATGCGAACCCTCACCTGAACGGAAAAATAAAATGCCCATCCGTCTACCTCCCCCCCCCCCTATGCCGCGTCTCTGTATCTCTCCCATCCTGGCTTTTAGTAACCATTACCACCGCATTCCCATTCCGGAATTTGGGGAAAAAAAGTCAAGAAAAAGCCGGGGCGGAAGCGAACGAGAGAACACGGCAAATAGGCATCGTTGCAAGAGTTTCGTCAGCGCATTGTTTCCGAGTGTGGGGAGAGGGAAGGGGCAAGGGGAAGGGGTAAGGGGAAGGGACAGGGGGAAGGGGAGGGAAGACGAGGAGGGGAACGTAGGAAGATAAGGGGCAGATGGTAGTGGAGGAAGGGAATAGAGGAGATGGTGGAGGACGAGAAGGTGGATGAGGATGAGGAGGAAGAAGAGGACGGGGAAGAGTAGGAGGAGGAGAAGGAGAAGGAGGAGGAGGAGGAG